ACATATATATATATATATATATATATATGTGTGTGTGTGTGTGTGTGTACAATTCAAGGTAAGAAAAAATTGAACATGTATTAGTTGTATGTAAATATATATATATATATAGCAGTCTCTCCATAAAATCTTTGATGTACTGTATATAACTAACTTCTGAACAAATGAACAGCTATGAAGTAAAACATACACAAACAATGGGCTCCTTACTCAATTTTAAGTGATCTTGTAACTTAAAACAGATTCAGTTTGTAGAAATCTTCTGTACTGAATTCTCTGTAGGCAGCTTTTTATTGTAAACACTGAGGTATTCACAATACATTCTGACTTGTAAAACCTAAGTCATTCCTTGTGGTGTTAACACAAGTTTTTTAATAGAGATGTACAATTAATCACCTAAACTGAAAGTTTACGTATCATTAACAGATTTAAAGTGTAGCTCTACAATTATTTATTCAAAAAGGTAAAGTAATTTGTTATACACCAAACATTTTACTCACACACACACACACACCTTACACAATCAAGTAATTTGGGAATAACGGATATCTATCTGTGGGGTTGCACTTAGCCAAGCCAATTTGTTCTCACAGTCATCTGATTGGTTAAAAATTTGTGTTTATCAGGAAGTTTTGTACACAACTTTTCCAATATAAATTTTGTAACCCTTAGTTTTAGACCATGTTGAATTCACACACATTCTACAAGTAGAATAATAGTGCTGGGAAAAATGTACATAAGTCCATCCATTGTGTATAAATATAAAGGAGACAAAAAAAAAAAGAAATACGCAAAAATAAACCAATTACATGTATAGTTGTAAGGCCTACTAAGAGTGACTCTTACGGATGCCTTTTACTTTCTGTGTGTATGTGTTGATAAAATTTAACAAAAGCATTTTCTACTGCAAAATTTTTAAATCATTTTCAAATAATGATGTAGCATCAAAATGAACAATTTTAGAAAATTACACAGCAAACCTGTTTGAAACTCAAATAAAAACAAAAAGTGTTCAGACATGCTTATTTCACATGCATTTTCTTTAATATATGAAAATGTAATAAAAGGACATAAACAATACTCTGAAAATTGGCATTTAAAAATAATTACAAATTCATTATTTTGTTCAGTTCTCAGAATTCTGTTAACAAGTGCAAAAACTTGGATTACTAATTCAAAAGTTTGAAGGAGGGGGTGTTATAAAGTCATTCTGCTATTAACAAGTGCATAAAACAGAGATGACCAATTAAAACCTCTGAAGGTGGGTGAGTATTCACAGTATAAACATTGCTGGAAATGATTTTTAGTTTTAAAAGAACTTTTAAGAGAAAGCAAACATTCAGTTTGTGTGGTTAGATAAGAATGTGAATTGAGCGAAATACAACTAAATATATATTTTGTCAAATTTCAACATATTTTACAAGTATATGCATATACAGAGAGAGAGAGAAAAATTACCTTTATAATCAGTCACATAATGTCGAAGATGACGGCCTGAATATAGAATTTTTTCTCTAAATAAGTCCAACTTATTAAGAAATAATATCTGCAGAGAAAGAAAATACAACTGTAAGCATAATTTCCGAAACAAACAAAACTGTATTTACAACAAAAAATCATAGGTAATGATACTGTTTTTACAAATTTTTGTATAATACTAAATAACTCACATATATACAAACGATCAACTATGGGTGGGTAATACCATTTTATAATAAACTAAATACCTCAATAACACCATATTCAAATGAAATTAAATGTTCAGTCAATCTCTATATTTTGAAGAAATTAAAAGAAAAAATAGCTTTCTACTTAACAAGAATTAGAAACAAAGAAAATTATATTTCTTCAAATACTTAATAACAAATAATACATTTGCATGGAATTAATGCAGAAGATAATAATGTATAAGCATATCCAAAGGATTAAAGAAAAAACACTATTATGTTAGTTGGAATTACATTATCATGTAACAATGCAAGTATACATTCCATGAATATGTTCTTCATTCTGCAGTAGTTTACAAGTGCACATAACTTCAGTTACAAAAAAACAAAATTCACTAAGGTCTTTTGGACTGTAAAGGTACTTACCATTGAGGTGTCACAGAAAAACCTGTTGTTACAAATAGCAGAGAAAAGGTTCATGCTTTCCAAAAGACGGTTCTGTATTACACCATAAATAAAAAAATTCAAGGGAGTTAGCATAAAATGTACATATAATTACATTTCTTTAAAAAAACACCTTTATCTAAACATCCTGCTGCTTTTAGCTTTTATTTATGTCATACAGCAAAACAATAGGTGCTCAAGCAGAAAAGTTTTTAAAATAACTAGCCCGGTTTTCTTACCTTTAATTAGGCAAATACTTACCAAGGTTACCCAAAAAATTATACTCCTTTGCAGGACACTCAGTAAAGTTAATCACTTTGGAGTATGGCTTAATTACACGCTGGTTAGTACTTATTCTAACTAGTGTTATTTTCATTATGAATGGAAAAAATTTTCCACATTCAGGTTAAGAAATCACCGACAAGCCACTACAACAACTTATTAAACTTTAAATGGTCTTACCTGTAAACAAAGTGATAATTTAGACATAACTACCAAAATATTAACCCTAATAATGTTCTAAATAAAAATTAATTTTAATCTCTATTCAAATAATGAAATATATAAATGGCATATGAGCTTGCTCTCTCTGTTGTATGAATTTCTTTTACCAACAGTTATGTGGAGAAAAGTGATGTGTAATAAGAAAACTATTAAAAGGCCTCAAAGTTGTCAATGTTAACATTTTGTATACCTCTGATTTATAAATAAAAGAAAAAACTTTAGTAATTTTTTTGTAACAAAAATAAACATTTTTAATACAATTATTAGATTTATTAATCACATTTTAAAATAAAATACCAGTATTGCTTTCAAGTTTGGTCAGTCAAAAAAACTAGCTCTAATTTTGGTTCATGATGGCTTTAGGACGATGCCAATAATCCTAAATTATAAATATTGATATTTTCAACCTTCAGTATTATATACATATATATATATATTTTTTTCCTATTTAATTTTCTAGACACTACTAACTATATACTACCACAGTATCAGTCTAATATAAATACTCAGATGAACACTTACAACATTTGGATCTTCCTGCAACATCATATCGTAACCACTGAGAGCAACTACAAATAGGAGAGCTCGAACATCGTCAAAGCACTGGATCCACTTCCTCCTTTCTGAGCGCTGTCCACCAACATCAAACATTCTAAGAAGAATTAAATAATTTTTTTGATCACTATATTTGTAGAGAGTAATTCTTATCACATTACAATAACAAATAAAACTATTCATCCATATATTTATGAAAGAATTCTAATCAATCAGTGCTGAGAAGCAATGGTAATTTTAACTGAATTATGATGAATAAGAAACTATGAAATTTAACATTTTATGCTTTTCAAATATTCTGCCCAGTTCTTTATTATATGACAAAATAGAAATAAAGACTTATGCCAATAATAACATTAGTTTTTTTTTTATGAATCTATAATACAAGTTCAAGGCTAACTAGGTGCTCAGAACTTCTTCAGGAATAACTTTAAGTATTTCATTTTGCTGACATACTACAATTCCTAAATTCTTTAATGACTTTTGAAAGCATTTTCCTCACATTTTTGAGTATAGACAGTGTTTCTACAAATATTATGACTTTATCCTCTACTCAATAACTAACTCTTAAAATGGAATATTGTCATAATTTTTGTATAAAAATCTTAGTTGTAAGTAAACATATAAATGATTTTCCCTTCAGTTAACATTATCCTTGACAGTGGTGTATGCTCAAAAACGGGGACAGCCTTTAAAACATCATCATTTTAGATAAAGAAACCTGGCAGCATAGCCTACTTACAGCCAGCCTATTTTTTAATACTACACATGTTGGTCTAACAACAATGTCTGCACAAAGACTGTTTAGTATGATGGGTTACAACTTGTGCATCATGGGAACAACCTACACTAAGAGTAATGTCTGCAAAAAGATTGTACACCCTTTAATATTACACTATTGCATTCTGGGCACATATTGGTCTAAAAGTTGTCTCTCTCTCTCTCATTGACTGCATAGCCTTAAATATTATACTGTATTATACCACACACACAAACTGAACAAATATTTCTATCTGCCCAAACACTGCATAACCTTAAAGACTACATAGTTACATACTGGCAAAACCTGCACTAATACCAATTATTTGAAAAGCCTACTTTGTAAGTCTTGAATACATGTTAGTTTAATAGTGAACTTTGATCTTAAAAAATTTTATAAGAAAAATATTAATGTAACAATAACTATTTATTACTTTTTTTACGTTATTATGATACCTAAATGAAATTCATTTTATTATTTAGGCTACATAATGAAACTCAAGCTGCATATCCACATAAAATATCTGTGTTGGTCACAAACCTCCAAAATATTCTTTATATTTAATATGAAGAGCACTAAAGCACACTTTATATCAATAATCTGAATATACTAATATAGTGTTGAGTCACACATGTGGGACATGTATATTTATGGAAAGACTTATAGCTGTAGTAACTGTTACCCTCAAAGGATATTCCCTATAGCAAGATTGTTAAATGGCATAAAGGGAACCTCCAATGTTCTTCACTGAAAAATAAACATTGTATTGCAGACAATTTCGAATAGTAAAAGACTCAAAACCACATCATAAGCCAATCTAGAGCAATTCCTTCATCTGCAAAGTGAAGGTTATGGAGAGAAAATAGAGTCATGCCACTCAAATGAAACTGATTATATCTTCTGGTACTATTAGTGAAATAATTAAATCATTTCGAAGTTGCTGGAGGTTCACAAGCCAACAGTTTATAATCTTCCAGCCATCTCAAAATTAAAAACTATTTTCATGAGAAAGATGGACAAAGAAACTAGAATTCCAGCAATTCAATCACAACACTTCCAAGTCCTATGATGAAACTCCAATATACTTTGTACCTTTGAAATGCTTAAATGAGGTCTTGCAAACAGACATCTAAATTCAGAGCAAGATCTGTGTTTAAGATGTGTGGTCTAAGAATGATCTTGCCCTTTTTTGCAGATGTTTGTTACAATAGAAACTGAGATGTCTGGCACTGGTGCAAAATCATGGGCATCAGATTGGACATAATCAAGGATGGAGGAAGTACTTCTAAAGGCAGCACTGAACCTGGATCATCATTCTTATAAAATGTGATTAACTTCACTATAGAATGGAGTTTTGATGATTAAGTAAAAAATATCATTAGTGTTATGTTTAGTTGCCAGATCCTGACCTGAACACCATATCACTGATTTTGAAATGGGTTTCAATGATTCCATTGGTTCTGACCCTTGCTCTCAAGACATCTGTAGCTGTTGGCATGTATTTTTCTGAACATATCCTGTCAATGTTTTCAAAAAGACTGAAACAAACAAAATATAAAAAAATAAGAACTGAATGAAACAAAAACTAAAAAGTGAAATATAAAAAGAATTAAATAAAAAAACACATAACTGATAAAAAAATTAGGAGTATTATTTCCATAACACTTATAAATAAAAAGGTACTTAAACAAAGTGTATATTCTGTTACAGCATTTTAAGTTTCTTTAAAGTTATCTCCAGATGAGTAGGACAAAATCTTGCTGGCATAAAACTTTTTAATTCCCCAGTTGTTGATGTGTACAGAAACTGGAGATGTTGAGAATGCTTACAATAAGCTACATAAGTGATGCTACAAAGTATTTCAGCTTACTGATAATTTAATACTATCCAGATGCTGAAAACTAAATCTGTATGCAACCAACAAGTTATTAAACTCCGTGTAAATTTAATGTTTGTGAGAAAAGCAAGTCCTCAAGTTTACACACAATACTGTACTAATTTATGTACTATATAGTCAGAAGCTGTCACAGTTTAAACACTGCATATAATGTATGAATGTGTTTGCATTTAAAAAGAAAAAAAAAAACTTGCAGATGCTCTGCATGCGATATTCATTCAAGGAAACTTCATGACTAAAACCCAGCCAAAAAAAATCCTTAATCTTACCTCGGTGAAACTTTAAAGTTCAAACTCCAATACATCACTACTCACTCTTTTTTTTTCAATTTCAATCTATCTCTCGCCAAACACCCTTAATTGAGTAACATCTTGATATTTTCTAAAACACTAACAGATAGTTTTTTTTATAAATCTGTAAAAAATATTGTTACTGAAATCAATATAGTTTTTATGAGCCAGAAAATAAAAAAAGTTTCTTATCATATGAAATATAAAACAACCTTCTGTTGTCACTCTGTTTCATATTTTAAAAGCAGAGTGGTGTACATTATGTAGAACAAAGCTGTTTGCAGCCATTAATGTAAAACAGGTCTGAACTCCATAACAGATTTTTAAGACATCTGAATACATAAACAATAAACCACACATGCCAAGTAAGAAAGAATACTGAAAAACCTCAATTTTAACATCTGAGAGGTGTTAATACTATAGACTACAAAACATAAATGTAAGTAAGGAAACTGGCACTAGTTTTAAAATAAATATATTTCTTTTTGAAAAATCACTTCACTAACTACAAGACTTGAAGGATTTTTTTCTCCAAGAAATATTCTATTGAAAATTAAGAAGTTAATGTACCTTAACTAATAATTAATTTTAACTCCATTTTAAACTTCTTTGTATGCTGTGTAATATTTCTGAACTGTGTCAAAGACCATCACATCTTTCAGGTTTTGAAACTCAAATGGCATTAACCCTATCTCTATGGGTCTTCCTATGGTCACAGGTCAAAGGCCATGTCATTGCGTTTGTAGACTCACATTCAAAATTTTATCTTATGAATATCTGTCAATAAGTCTCGCATCAAATTGTAGATTATAATTCAAATTTTAGTATGATCCATTAGTTAATTTCTTGATTTAAAAGTAGAAATTAAAAAAATCCTAAATATCAATTTTTTTGTGTCACGTGATACACTGAATGCAGCATTTATTCAAATTAGATGTTTTTGATGTCCAAATACAAAGTCTATAGTTTTTTATCAATTAGGAACTCAAATTACCGATATTGAAAAGCTAGAACCTAAAATAAGAACCTCCTATTTGCTGAGATATTACTACATTTACTGAAACAAACACAATGGCCCCACCCACTTCTTTCCATTTTTGAAAACACTTCCTTATGTACACTTACAAATGTCAATAACAAGTGAATAACCAATCAAAAACTCAGAGTGTCCATCTAGTGGCTTTCTCAGCCATTTTAAAGTAGTAGGCTGCCAATCTCATTCTTTTGATACAAGATTCCAAGCTGATAAGGTAAGTCTTTAGTAAGCTTGAAATATCATTTTTGTTAGACCAAAATACAGCTGTTACTAAGCTTGATTTTGGGTTATGTCAAAATGTATACATAAAACCTAAAAAAAAATATTTTGTTTCATATTTATTTCCTAATTTTTATATAGAGGTTACGAATTCAGTCAAATCAAATGAACCCAGACAGAGATACAGTGGTGAAAACAACAGATAAAATATAAATCTTTTTTCTTTAAAAAAAATATAATTATCTGGAGGTTATAAAGATTTCCCATGTGACATTTGAAAATGTTCAAATGCATAAAAGTATTTTTAATCTTAAAATCAAAATTACTTTGCATGTTGGATAATCAACATTCTGAAAGACAAAATTTTAGAAGAAATTCTTTAATTACAAAAATCTTAATACTTAATTGAAAAACCCAATATTTTGTATATGAAAGCCTTGTAATTGTTTACAATTCAACCCAGTCTGTAATAAAAGGGTTAAAGAGTTGAGGTACTAATTTCCATGTTAAGAAGGTTTTTAAACTCACTTTAGTTGCTTTGGCTCAAATATATTATTTTAATCACCACATTAAAAAAAAACAAAACAATATGTATAACAGTTGGAAAATGTAATGTTTGACATAATAAAAAGCTCACTTACTATATTGCAGAATCATTAAGTTCATATTCATATCCTCTTGCCACAGCCAGCCTTACACCCTTATCATTCCATAAGTTCTTCAACGAATTGCTTATGAAGGGAAGCATGATGAAGTGCTCATCAAAACAACACTGGCAGGATAAGATGGTCTGAGCATGGTGCTGAGAAAGATGATAACACAGAAAATTTATTCATAAAACTATATCTCACTTTGCAAAATATTTTTTAATAGGCACTGAACTGTCACTGTCCTAATTTTATGTCAGTTGTTTGTCACTGTTGTTTAAAACGTTTTGAGATGAGAAAACTTGCTGCTCTGAAGATGGTGATGCAAAGCAAAAGCTATGACATCAAATTATTTTAAATTTTTATTTTTGTTTCATTTGTTACTTTTTATATCATATGCATTCTTTGAAATTTCTTACTTTTATAATTTTTGTCTTGGTAAATACTGTAATTAACTAATTTCATAACAAAATATTTGCATAATTAAAGACAGATCTTCTGTATAATTAAAGACAATGAACCAAACAATATGTCCTGTTTGAAAGATTGTTTGTCATAAGTATTCCCTTATTTACTGTTTCCCTACAAATTTCCCCATCTCTCCTAATCTTGTTTGAAAAATAAACTTGTTCATTTAATAATGAAGTTTTTGTTTTTTATATATTATCCTTAGGTGAGCAAATCTTTCTTTATATTAGATATCTTATCATGCTTAAAGAGGAAAACTTATGAATCTTTAAAGATTTTGATGAGATTCTGCTTATCGGACTGGTATTTCTATACATATATTCTTTTTTATTTATGGCAAAGCTACTGAGCATATCTGCTTCTGTCTCCCAAATTTTGAACTACTGATCACTGATTTTGACACGCACTGGCTAAAACCAGAACACACACAGATCTTAAAAGTAGTAAATATTTATATAAATATATAGATGTAAAATACAACATGTAAGCATAAAACAAAAGTTAATTGTTTTTGTAGCTATAAACTTGTGTCTTGCTTAATATTTACTACTAGCATAATTATCTTAATTACTTCTGTAGCTACCCCAATGTGCCAATTATTTAACTGATTTGTCTGTTGCCATTTCCCAAACTTAATTTAATTCAATGCCTTTTTAAAGGCAAATAGTTTTAATTCAGTATCTCAGATTAATTTTTTTCCTTTCTGTTTTTATTTGAATTCTTTTCATTCTCCAATATCCTCCGATTCAAATTTTTCTTCCTATTTCCCAAACTAAGTTCAATTCAACTTTTATTTATCCTCAGATTTGTATTTTTCTTCCCATAATTGTGTTGAAAAAGAGTATTTGGCAGAAAAAACCACCACATATTGTTCATTCAGTAAGTGAGAATTAGAAAAAAATATGATACTTTTCGATATATATTCAGGAAGCAGAATTATGTGGGTTAAGGGCTATAGGACAAAACAAATTGGTCAAAAGTTTTTTGGGTCAAACCTAAAAAATAATACCCAGGTGCATGCTCTCAGACTTTCCTTAGTATGCATATAAAGTTTCAGGTCTCTAGGTTCTTTCCTCTTGAAACTTTGGCACAGGATCTTTTACTATTATAGATAAACACATTAGTAAATCATATAGTACAGTATTAATAGAATTTGAGCTTGTGGTAGAATTATATGAAACATAATTCATTTTATATTTTACCATCAAAAATTAATACCTTTAAATATTATAATAATAAAGGTATCGATACATTACCATCAGTGTATATACCACACAATCATGACTGTTTTATTGTACTACTAGCAAAAGTACTCAGCTTTGCTTGGGTTATTAGGTTGACATATTGGCTGTTTTCCCATCTGCTGTCAAAATGAAAAGGTTCTTACTGCACCAACCCTGGATCACCCAACATAAAGCTGGCCATGAGAAAAGCACGGGCTTTGCAGGTTGAGACCAACAACCTTGAGTGATTGCCCCTGTGCAACTTTAAACTAAAATCATTTTGGAATTAAGGTATTTTCTGTGATAACACCAATGTTCTTAATATAAAACAAACCTCTTTAATCAACAGACTATAAATTAAGAAATCAACAAATATTTTTCCACTTTTGTATTTTATACATTTCATTTTATGCTTTCACTACATAGACTAACAACAGTATTAGGTTATACTCTTGTTGCTAAGCAACATGACATAAAAGCCATTTTTAGAATGCATTGTTACCAAAATGCACTGGCCTTTCTATATATTAGTAGTTGTTATACAAGGAACCACTTCTTTTCTACATGGTTTTTCATTAGTTTGCCTCATTAAAAAGTTGAGTGCAATCGGTTATTAGGTTGATAGTTTGTATTCTGAACCCATTTTAGCATAAAAGTATAACCTATATACTTTTTTGCTAAGCAACATGACATAAAAGCCAATGTTAGAATACATTATTACCAAAATGCACTGGCTTTTCTATATATTAGTAGTTGTTACATAAGGAACCACTTCTTTTCTATGTGGTTTTTTCATTAGCTTGCCTCATAAAAAAATTTGCACGTACATACATGCACACACATGGATAAATAATAATACCCAGTTGCACACCCTCAGGGTCCACTCAGTATGGGTGCAAAATTTAGGGTTTCTAGATTCTTTCATCTTAGAGCTATGGTGGTCACACATACACAGACATGCATGTGCAGATGCACACACGTGCATGTCTGTCTGTCTATGATTTCTATTTGTAATATAAAAACCCACTTCTTTTCTGGGCGGTTTTTTGCTAGCTTTCCTCATTAAAAAGATGCAAATGCACTCACACACATGCACATTTCTTTTCTCTGTGTTTTTTTTTGCATAAAAAGATGTGCACACACACTTAGATAAGTAATAATACCAGGTGCAAACCCTCAGGGTCCACTTAATATGGGTGCAAAATGTTAGGTTTCTAGGTTCTTTCCTCTTGAGGCTATGGCAGTCACACATACACAGACCACCATGTGCGTGTCTGTTGGTGATTTCTATTTGTAATAAAAGGAACCACTTTTCTTCTAAGTGGTTTTTCACTGGGTTGCTTCATTAAAAAGATACTTAGTATGGGTGAAAAATTTCAGGTTTCTAGGTTCGTTCCTCGTGGAGTTATGGTGGTCACACATACAGACCCACAGACATGCCCTATTATTATTATAGATTATGTATTATGAAATTATTTATCCTTTACCGTGTGTATCTACAGTGATTATCAAAACATCCTCTGTCAGTCATATTAGAGCTAACAGCCTACTTTTAGTCTGTGACAACATATTTCTGATTACACAAATCTCTTTTAACATATTCAGAATTAACTACAGTTAATTTAAAACACTAAGACCTTAAAGAAAACTTCAACATTGAAAACCTGTATTTCTATATCTGTGTTAAGCCTATCTTCCACAATAGTAAACTAAGTTTAGCTTAAAAAAAAGCAAACAAATTAATAAATAATGGTTGACTCAAATGATAGGTGCTTGTGTAAATAATTTGTGTCTCATAATTTAAGTTTGTAAAATGCTACTTATAAGAAAACAACTATCAAGCTAACATTTTAATTATGTTGGCATATTCTTAACAATTTAAAGTTCTGAAATAAATCAAAGCATTCCTTTATTTTTCCCAGCCAAAAAAGACTTATATAAGGTTTGTTAAGCTTAATACTAATGTTTTACATCCAATTTAGAATAGATAATGTTTAAACTTCCTAAAAAATTGTCAAAAGTTTGTGTTTCCTTAGGTTAACTATGGCAAGAAAATTCAATATGATTTTGATTCTGTTCATCATGTGAAAAAAATTAAACTTCAGAAAAAGATTGAATAGCATACTATTTAGTTCTAGCATACTTAAAATAAATAAAAGGCTAAGAAGAGATTTTTGTAGTAATTACCGAGCCTAAGATAGAAGCTAGTTTAGAATCACATTTTGAATTAAAATTTGAACAAATTTCATAGAAATTGGTTATTTTTTAAGTACAATTTTCAAAGTATACTCTTATACAACGCATACAAAAAAGTATATAAATTATATCCTTATTAAAACATCTGATATTTTTTAAACTCAAGTACTGCCCTCTTCTTCACATTTCTGTACTAGAGATTAACTGGAAAATATCATACCAGCAGATTGTCACCAGTGTCAAAAAGCTGCATAGACACATCACCTGATACTATCCTAATACATGGAAATTTCTATTATTTACTATTTTTGATTATTTGTAAATATGTATTTTTAACAAGTCTGCAAGTCAGGGAGACAAATAAAGCTTTCTGATAATTTTTTTTTTTATAATTCTAAATAGAGATTTCAACCCCTTGAGATATCTGGAATCTGAATTGCCCAACACCATAGCCAAACTTGCACAAGAGTCCAGGCTATGAGAGAGTAAAACCCATATCCATTCAAAATCCCCCACAAAAAAACAGTAGTGGCTGCACATGTTGCACAATACAGTATCTGATTCCTTAGCTCTATAAAGCTATTTTCTCTCCAGTTTTCATGAGTTCTGTTGATAGAGATGGCCAGGAATGATCAACAAAGCTTACATGCTACTGTAAGGTGGCTAAATGTGGTACCTAACTGAACACGAATCCTTCTACTACAAGAGGAACACAGCCTGGCCAATCATTTAGCCTCTGCCACTTTTTGTATAAACTTTTTTTTTTTATGTTAACAGATTGGGCCTTTTATAGAGAACACTTTTTTTTGTTCTAATTTGAACATTGGACTCTTTGACACCACTCTGTAGCCCACTCTAGTTCCTGAATTCAGCCTCTTTGACAAGCAGATTGGTTGTTAAAAAATGCCTTTTTGTTTTCTTAATGTATTATATATTATCTTTATATATTGTCTTAAGGCCTATTCATTTTTATTACATTTTCAACATTTATAATAACACTGCATCATTGTTATTTAATTACACTGATAAAAAAATTTCTAATCTAGTTCTCTTCTATTCTATTAAATCATCTTCTTCCTTTAAAAATTACTTCATGAATTTTGGTCAAACCTTAAAAAGAGTAGTACTTATTGTCCCATCTATATTTTAGCAAAAACTGGTGGAAAAAAAATCAAGAAGTTATAGTCTAATGCCAGTGAATAACTACTCTCAAAATCTCTATAATAACATATGATCATTACTGATGCTAAGGAGTGAATGCTGTTCACTGTTCAATTAAGTGTTAGTTTCCAAGATTATACAAGTTTTATCTTAAAATAATTTCACATTTTCTGAATCAATTTAAGTTCATGAAGAAAACATTTTTTAAGTTTTAGAAACTGTCAGTTTAAACATTCTCTCAAAAACCATTTTACAAAGATAAGAAAACTAAGTGATTGTGCCTGTTACTCAAACAACATTCTGGATATTGTTGACAGTGCTAAAAACTGTAATAAGTAATTATCTTAGCAATTGCAAAATAGTCTAAATTTGCTGAAGACAATCAACCTTAAATATAAATTTAAACTCGTTCACCCCATGATAAGTTTCAAGCTTCAGCAAACAGAGCTATGAAAGATGAGGCAGAAGCTCACTGTGTCTCTAACTGATAAGGTGTTTAAGATATACCACCTAAAAATATTACCATATAATACAAAATCCATACTTTTTCTTACTCTTAGCTATAATTTTTTATTTTACTTTCTATCTAGCATTTTTGTAAAATGTTTGTAACAAGCTTATAAAAATATACTTACTCTGTTTTTCACAGTTTCTAAGTTAATTCGCAAAATTCCCATTCCAGTTAACACATACTTCATTGAACTTAGGAGGTTGTCTAAAACAGTAGGCTGAAAAAAAAAAGAAACAAATGCATATGAGCTATAACTATAGATTAGTATATACAAGATTCTAAGCTCTTTCTACCATAAGCAGAAATGAAAGCTACTGGTAAGTCTATAAAAGATGTTGTCCTTTAACTACAATGAAATGCAAGTAATATAATAAATAGAACATTTGTTTTCAACAAGGATTCACCTTTTAAATTGTATTTGCAGATTGACTTCCAAATGGTCATAGCAAACTGAAAATGTTCCATAATCACACTCATATATGCACATGAAATTGTTTTTCAAGCTTTTACCTATTACCTTTGAAATATATATATATATATATTCAAAAACTTGTGATTACAGCCACAGAAAGTCTTCCATACAACTTAACTTTGCTTCATCTTACTTTAATATATTCTAGTATTAAAACCCTCAATGTAGAAGATGGGTAAAAATAATAATAAAGGATGGAGAGGCTGTAATGTAACAAGGAAGTACTTTCGAGAAGTCTATTTTTCTTCATAAATGTAGTACCTAAAACAACCTTAGTTCTTGAATCACCAGTGACAGAATCCCCCCATGCTAGTTGTATGCTGTCAATGAAACTTAAGCCTACTTCTTTATACTAATAGTACTAATACACTAAATACTTTCTATTTAATTAAATAATGTACTGAAGAACACAGAGTAATAACACTCACTAAGCAATGCCTTATAACTATCATTTGACAGATAACTGAGAAGCTTTTGCCAGTTTTATAGACTTTTAAATGGGCAACAACTACTTTCTCTGAGAAATCAGATGTATCAATCTCAATGGTGTTCCTCATTATCTCTTTCAACCCGAGCTCGTAACCATTTTGTGCTTGTTATAGTTTTTATGCTACAACTTTTAAATTAGTAACTGAATGTTTACGAAATTTGGCAGTTTATCAGTAAACATTACAATGCTTTCAAACACAAAATATCTCATTTTTTTTAAGTCTTAAGAAATGATGCTCGGTATGTTAGAAAGACTTAGAAAACTACTAGGGCAGTGGTGGGATTCAGCCGGTTCGCACCGGTTCGTGCGAACCTGTTCTTAGAATTTAATGACCACCACGAACCGGTTGTT